GCCATGAGGGGCTCGGTTGGCAAGATTCGGTCAAAGAGCTAAAGCCCGCCTTTTTGGAGGGATTTGAATGCACTTAATTTGCATTCCTGCCAAGTGGCGGATTGATTTGTTATGGTAAAACGCTCTGGCAGAGCGATTGGAAAGATTTGTTTTTAAATCTATCCACGACTTTCAGAGATAATCAGCAATGAGATAGTCCGAGTACTGAAACTTGGCCCCTTACGTGTACAAGAATCTTATTTTTTTGGGAATTTATTGAAACAATTAGGGGTGACCGACGAGTTGGGGCGGGTGACCGATAATTAGGGCAACCCTCCTTTACGCGTCCGCGCATGGCGCGAGCGCGGCGGCGTGCAGCGGGTGCGGCGGGCGAGGGGAGCGGGGGGAAGACGACTTCTTTGTCGCCATGTGTGTGTGAGACTTACAGTGACTTACAGTCAGAAAGAAGAAGTAGTGTGGGATATAATCATTAAACATTTTCACTTGTACAGCATCTCGAACGCCGGTGGTATAGTGGTAGCATACGCCCCTGCCACGGGCGAGACCCGGGTTCAATTCCCGGCCGGCGTACTCTTTATTTATTATTTTTTTTGGTTCGTTGCGAAGGTTAGGGTGATAATGACTGGGTGATAATGACTGGTTCGCACCAACCCGACACTGACACGACGACGAGGATGGGACGTTAAAAGCTGAAGCCGACGATCAAGTCGTAGTTGGGACAGTTTAAACTTTAAACTTTAAACTGTCTCAACACAGGCGACCACGGCATTCCGTTGAACGGAATGCCCGTTTTGGGGCACACACACGTCCACGATAGGGAACTGTCCGGCATCGAGATACCTGTCCAACGCCGCCTTGACCGTGCGACCCTTTCCGCAGCCGACGCCGCACGCAAGCGCTCCGCGGCGCGGCGCGGCGCGGCCCCCGCGGGCACGTCCCCCGCGCCCCGCACGCGTAGCCCGCGGCCACCGCCCTCCCCACCCGCCACCGACGGCGCCACCGCACGCACGCACGCACGCCAGTGTCTCCGCCGATGCCGCCCATCGGCGCGCCGGTCGCATACCACAAGCCCTGCCCCGCGCCTGTCCCCGCCACGCAGCCCGTCGCCTGCCCCCACCACGCTTGCCCG